TCCCTCCCTCCTTCCCTCTCCCCGCCCCACAACACTTCCGGCTCCTTTAAGCATGCAGAAGCCTCTGTATCCTACCCTGAGCACCACCCAGAAGGGAAGTGTGGCTCACACCATCACTTAGGCTCTTGGTTCTGACCCTCCCTTCTCAACTCCCTCTCTGAATCCAACTCAGCCTTGATTCTGGGGTGCTACCCTCTAAGTTCCCTTGACACTGCGTCAGTCCTCTGCAAAACGGTCCTGGTTAATAAACCCAGTCACAGGACACCCTTCCCGGGGCTTTCCCGGGCTCCCCTGGGCAGATCTAGACTTTCCTCCTCCACCACACCACATGAGCAAAGCACTTGCCACCTACAAAGGTACCTGGCACTAACTGTGGGGCACATTTTGAAGGATGAATAGCCCTCTTAAAAAGCTGAGAAATTGTATTTAAAAAGTGATGGCAAAGGTGATAGCGGCCAAAGGGGTGGCATTGTTTTCAATGTGAGTAGTGCCATCAAAACCTTTCATGCATGTAGATGCACTTTTCGAAAGCAGTTATGACTGGGCTCTCTGCTCTCTTGCCCCCTCCCCACCGGGCATGGCTTACTCCAAGCTAGAAAAGGTGATGGAACTTTTCTTTAAGAGTTGAGAATTAAAAATAAATCATCACCTACAGTATATGGGTTGATCTAAAACCCCATGTAGTCAAGAAGTACGCATGTCCCAGCCGCTCCCTGGGGGAGTAGACGCACCCCTGCATCTGCAGCGGGCTCATGCCCGGCCAGGCAGTCGGATTACCCAGGTCACCCAGATCCCGGGGTGTTCTCTGCACCCCTGCCGGAGAGTCCACAGTCCCCCTGCCATATTTCCACGCCCACTCTAACCACGCCAGCTGTAGGCCAAGTTGAAACTCCACAAAAGACCCCCGGGACCTGTGACCTTTGGAAAGAGGGTCTTTGCGGATGTAACCCAGTTACAGGAAGTTATACAGCGACTGCTGGTCTAACAAGCGGAGGACAGAGACAACCGTGCACGCGGAAGAGCGCCATAGGCAGAAGCAGAGGACGGAGGGGTCTGCGGCTCAGCGGGGCGCCCAGCAGGTCCTCGTAGAGCCTTCTGCGAGCCCCGCGGCCTCCAGAATCCTGAGAGAATAAATATCTGTTAAGCCAGCCGGTCTGCGGTGCTGTGGCGAGGCAGCCCCAAGCGACGCTACGCCTTCCTGCAACTACCTGCTCCCTCCGCCCTCCGAGGACCCGAGGACGCTCCCGCCACCTCCTCCAGGAAGCCGCCATCCACTTCCCAGGCCCTTGGGCTTGTGGTGGTACTGTTTATGTAGCGGGCTGTTCCGGTCACCACCAGGTCCTGGAGGAACTGAGTCCGTGTCTAGTGGCTCAGTGCTCTGCCTTCTGCGCAGTCATCGGCCGGACTAGTGTCCACCCCACTCGCGCTCCGGTGAGCCACCAGGCCACACAGCCAGCTTCTTGCATCGTCCGAACGACCCATTAGGCCTTTGCTACTAAGCTAAGCGCCCCCTGCTACCGTGTCCCCTGTCACGCGGTGCCCCCGTCTCGGTGTTTTCAAGGGCACCGGGCGCGTAGGCGTCCCCGCTGGAGCACGAAGCGTGAGAACGTGTTGTTCGCGCTTCGGCCAGCAGAGGGCGGCAGGGTTGCGGGCCAGCGACGGCTGCAGTCACTGT